TTTAAGGGCAGTTATGGATTTTCGGGTAATCTGGGAAACTTATGCTGTATTAGTTATCAATTTTATTATTACATATTATGTCATTTGATAGTTGATGAGTTTCTTTACCAGTATAATTACTATCAACATTAATTAATAACATATACAGTTTATTTCTATTACATAATTTTATAATTGTCATGCAAACTATAACTATCATGCCGTACCTTTTATCAAAACTTTGTGTATTAAAAAAATAGAAACTGGTTTTGAAAATTAAAAAAAAGAAATTATACAGTTCCAATCATTAATTTTTTAAATGGAAAAAAGATAAAAGATACGGCATGTTAATAGTTTGCATAAAAAAAAATGTAATAGATATAAATAGTTAATGCTATTAATTAATATTGTTGGTAGTTATAAAGATGAATATGTTGCAGGTAAACCGAAAGCTTCCATAATTGTAAAGCGTAAAATAAAATAATTTATACAGAGACTGTCGTTGGTAAAGAGTTTTTTCATAAAAAAATATAAAACAGAGAGAGAAATACTTTATTAAAAGTAATGCTGCCCTAGCACAAAGGGTTGCTTTAATGCACAGCATACTAATCAATCCATATGGACATAGCTCTTACATTACATTATTCCATTATTATATACACACATTATTTTTTTTTCCTTTTCATAACACTAGTCATATACAATATCATTAACACACTACGTTAAATAATTACCGTTACATAACATGTATATTTTCTGAAAAAAAATGTATTCGAATGCTAGAAATACAAGACTAAATCGCACACACATATACCAACGCACTTCCATGAATATTGACACGAAATTTGTTAAAAATGATTACATAATAACATTTGATATTGTTTTATATTGTCATAAAATAATTTGATAAATTGTTAGTAGCAATTAAACGCGAACCAAAGGTCACTAACAATTACAAATTAATCGTTTAGCAGGTACTATAGGGGCAACAATTAGTGTTTACAGACTGCTTTGAAATCATAGTATTACAGTAATTAGACCAATTGACGTCGTACAAATCCACCATTGCTCAAATACTAAGTAATAGCTTAGGCGGATTGAACAGTAAGCGGATTGAGCTGTCGCGTAAAGCCCCAGTTAAAGATCATCGAAGTTCAAAATAATCTAACCTATAAACAATTATAAAAATCATCAAGAGATAGAAATTATATGTTGTTTTCGTTGCAAAAATTCAACCATAGAGCCAGGTGTCTCTGAGATACAGATAAAAAAAAACTAACCCACCAAAGTTTTCCCAAATCGTCAGAAAAAAATAACAAATCACATAATGCCATGACATCCATCACCAGGGGTACCCATCCTTTTCCCAAGATCGATGATGCACCTCTTTACTCCCAAGATATTGGGGGTATCATGCACTTATTGTAAATGCTTAATGTGCTATCATGCTAAGCAGTCAGCAATTTTTTTTAATAAATGGTAAATTACCGGCCCGTGCTAACGTGCTAAAGTGTTATTAGTTTGATTTACTTTTAAAATACCACAGCAAAGTGAAAAGACTTAGTTGATGGATTATTTAGTTAATATGATTTATTGGAAAGAATTAATGAAGATTCAGAAGATAAAGAACTTGATGAATAGATAGATGAGATCCTAGGCTTTACATTTCTGTGGAAATCGTACACATAAAAACAAAGAATTAAACACATCAAAACCTTACAATAACCTTCTTCGTGTATTTAGGAAGTTAGCAACACTTTACGAGACCCTATGCTGCGTTAAACGGCTATTGCTAACGGCCATATTTAAGACAGAATCCGTAAATAATTTTCTCGACTTTACACATTTATGAAGTTTACAATAATTTGCACTGGTTGCATGAATATGAATAGCAATATTTTATTGCTCACCTCTTCTTAGAAATAATGCAAACGAAAGGGGATTTAGAAAAATTATATATTATTACACCTTTTTTGGGCGGCCCAAGACTTCCACTGAAGTACTATACTCCTAGTTATATTAAATATGATGGAGATATAGATATACATTATTGTTATTTATTTATTTATGCAGACGGCACAACAATTCTCACAAAACATCAGATCCTACACAATATATCAAGAGCCTCACTAACTCTACAACATCACTTACTTAAATTACAAGATTGGTTCACACTATGGAAAATTCGACTTAATCATGACAAATCCAAACATACAACATTTACTATTCAAAAAACATCTGCCCTCCAGTTTATATTGACAACAATCAAATTCCTCGAACGGATACGGTACTTTAACTTGGCTCACCTTCGACAGAAGGATGACATGGGTCCGCATGTTAAAATGAAACGTAAGACACTTAACAAACGACTTAAACTACTTTACTCTCTTCTTTCTAAATCTTCAAAACTAAAACAGAAACTGAATACATATAAATACTAACTCAAACCCATATGGACGTATTCATCACAAATATACGGTATCGCTAAAAAGACCCACCTACAAAAACTTCAAAAGTTCCAATCAAAATTATTGTACAAAACTCTACATACTGACCTCCACTTTCCAACAGTTGACCAATATATAACGTCCCTTTATCAACGATTTTACACAAATTTAAATGGACAAAATAACAGACTTATAAGAGACATGGCCACAGCTGACATACCTCAGAACATGAGGAGAAGACTAAAATGGCGTTGGATGAGGGATCGCCTTCCTTAGAAAACCTAAGTACTTGGAACAAGTTAGGAAAGAGGTACTGCTGAGTACTTTCCTTCTTCGTGCCTGTCATATCATTATATCATGCATCGCCATCACATTTGCTGATTGTCAACAATAAGTTGACAGGCGCAAATAGATTTTTGATGGACAAAAAAAAAATGTATTTATTTTTAAAAATCTATTCTGGATTCTTCAATAAATTTACACAATGCCTTAATGGTATCCATATCAAGATCAGCCAGCCAAGATCTCTTCCATGCTTCCTCTAGTCTTTTTTATTTTTTTTTTAACTTTTCATTCCGAAAATGCATAATGCTATCGAAAATTGTTTCCCTCAAAAAATCAAAACCCAGTCAAAATGTGCTCCTCTAAAAATTTTGATATTGTGCAAAATTGATTCAACTTGCGTCATAAACCTCCCTTCTGGCCACCCCTCCCAAACACATATACAAAACAATTCTGAGTTTGGATGTTAAGGAATGATGTGATGTTATTTTTTTTGCTCATGATGCCTTTATTGGAGAAACGATGAGGGATTAGCTTATTACGAATTAACTTTAAGGATGGGATTTTAACTTTTTTAACTGTTCATTTGTATTTGGGCGACTTGCGGATTTCTGGTGTGGAATCTTCCATTTATATCCTATTTACATATAAATTACAGTTTTAAATTAAAATGACATAATCACTAAAATAAGAAATGCATTTAAAACAAAATTAAATATCGAAGGATATTTTTAAGATAAGGCAAACTCTTTTATGACCTATTTTACGATTGCTTTAAAAGTTACTTTAGTTTGGAATTCATTTTGTCACAAAATGCTACCAATTAATAATATAAAGCCTTTATTTTAATATAATGGAGTCAGAGATAAAACAAAAATTATAAACTAATTTATGAATATTCATTAAAGTTACTCAAAGCAACCGTATTCAAGACGAAAACTCATTAAGTTAAAGCTAACAATGAAATGATTCACCTTGTTAAAATGTAACAAAAATAAAAATAAATTAAAAGCAATTAAATTTTACATTGGATATAAAGTTATTTATAAAAGAAGAATATAAGTATTTTAAATATTTATTAAAGCTTTCAATAGTGTTTACGTTTAATTGACTGCATGCAGTCATACTTCAATAGATCTAGTTACCGTAATGGGGATTGGCACGAAGACAAATTGCCACTATTATTCTTTTGACGTCGCCATAACATATTTGGAAAAGAAGGACGTTTCTATACTACGCCTAATCATCTGTCGGCCAGCCATATTGGGCCCAAACACGTGTGGACCAGGAGGAACTCCCGTCAAGAAAGGAAACAGAAAAAGAAGAAAAAAATAGAACGACTTATATTTCGGTGAGTAAGATAATATTGCAGATGGTCTCAAAACATTCTTTGCTATATCTAAAAGCTTTATAAGTATTTTTTTTTATTTTTACATACAGAACATTTAATTCAATAGAATCAATAAGGACTTCTTTAAAAAAATATTATAAATTTTATATTTTATCAACCACTAGAGCCATCATCGCCTTGCGTCAATGGTTATATTTTAAATTTTGGAATATATCTCTGTTCGTCAGTCATCTGGAAATTGTCGAATAACGCGGAATAAATATTTTTTGGGATATCAAAAAGTGATCAATAAGTAGTATTGCCCAAATACGAGACCGAGACGAGTCTTTGTCTAGCAAACTCAGTGTTGGCCTTGCGCAAGAATCTCGCAACAGTCTTGTTGCTTATTACTTATTAGCTTATTACCATAGAGATATTACTGTAATGTTTTAGATAGGAGAAATCGAACAGAGCCCGAATGAAAAATTAGAAGTGCTAAATGGAAAAGTATATTGGTTATATCAATTATTAAATATCTCTATTAGTAACTAAGATTGTCAAGTATTAGCAACTATTTTGCCATAATTTATATTCAAAAAGTCCTGGTCATGGTCTTGCAACAGTTAGGTGGCCTTGGTCTTGGTCTTGCAAAGTGTAAGACCAAGACTGATTTTGGGCAACAATATCAATAAGGACTATGAGCCCTGTCGTATAATAGATTTAAGAATTTCTAGTGCAACCGAAATATTTCATTTTTCGTCTTTTTCAACCGAAAAATTCATTTGCACCTGTCAACTTTTATTAAAAATCAGCAAATGTGCTGGAAATACAAGATATAAATGATATTTCAGGCATGGGGAAGGAAAGTACACAGCAACACCCCCTCCCTGACTTGATTCAATTACTTAGGTTGTTTAAGGAAGGAGATCTCTGATCCAACGCATTTATAAAATCGTTTGGTAAAGGGTCGCTATACGTTGGTGAACTGTTGGAAGATGAAGGTCAGTATGTAGAGTTCTGTTAGTCACAAAACTATATTTTATATGATGTTGATTTTTAAGGTAAGTGGTTGATTTTCAGTGCATTCATTGAAAAAAAGAGACAAACATTCCACTTAAAAACTCTAATACTGCCCATTTGTTCACGTAGATTAAGAATCAAATGAGTTGGTTTATCGTTCTTATTCGTTCGTTTATCGTTATTATTGATTCTTATTGGTATAAGAATCAAATCCTTTATAGGTTTAATTAAGAAAAACAGAAGGTTCAAAATGGAGGAATAATAGGTTTTTCGCTGGGATTTATAGAGTTAAGAGAAAATGATCCACAGCCAACTTGATGCCTTCTCCACTATAATATAACAAATATTACTAATTAGACCGGAAAGTATTAATTTGGAAAAAAAGAAAAGCAAGAGATAATATATAATTAATGAGCGTATGTATTAAAATATATATCTAAAATACGCCAACTCTTCCTCCCCAAAAAATAAGAAAACATATATCTATACATCGGACACATTAAAATAAGGAAATAATTTATTCGATGGAGATAATAATAGTAACAGTGGAATTTAAATTGTTTTTAAAAATCAGAATAACGTAGAATTAACAATAACTGATTATTAAATTAATAATTTCTGAATATGATATCGCTACTATTAGTGCAAAAGATCGTATATAATAATGTTACATGTGACAGATTGTAATATATCTCAATAAAGAAATTTCCTAAAAAAAAAAAAATAATAAAAAATAATGTTACATGATTATTCTTTTGGTACAAAATTATGTTAATATTTTGTAGTCTGAAACTGATATAAGTAGTCTGCTGAATAGGAAAATAGTTGAGGGAAATAAAATATGGAATTATACTAATAAATCATAAAGAACTAATCTATTTTTATCATAATCTTCTGTAAAAAAACTCAATTTTTACACATGAGCTTTTTCACTACCATTAGCGATAAGGTAGGGAATGAAAACCTTGCAACTCCATTCGTTTATTTAAATAGTAGAAATGCAGTCTGAAAACTCAACATGGCAAAAGCGATAAATATGATTTACTCTATGTAGTAATAATTATATAAACTAGAACGGTACCACTTCATGCAATTTTTTCAACTCATTTCTTTATCTTGTAAAATTTTCCGAAATAATTCAATTTAAAATTCTCAATGAAATTCGAAATAACATAATTCAATGTTGTAAGTTTTCATTGGCTACCACCTCTAAGTCAGTTACACAATATTGTCCAGAATTTCCTCAATCATGCGGGAAAAACCCACTTTTTCAGGTTCTTTGAAAAGGAAAAACCTAAGTATCAGTGATCGATCAGCTAGGTATCAGTGACCAAATCGATTTCTTGTTGATTTTTAATTTGAGACATTATAGACAATTTCGCACAATAGTAAATAATTATGAAATCTTGAACAAATCTCAAATAATTTTCTTGTAGTAATTCTACAAAAGATAAGCACGTCATAATTGCTAAAATTCGAATTATATTGATTAATCATGATTTAATTGAACGTTTGTGTCGAAACAGTCTATCTCCTTATGATAAGATAGAATAAAAACTGAAAAAAAAATTATATAAATAATGTGGAACAGTGAAAAAATGTTGGCTGATCTTTAAGTGGTTTATTTTTTTTAAAAAAGATAATTTATTTTTACTTATGATAGCGCTAAACACACAATGCATGTATCGAAAAACAAAACGCTATAGAATTTTTTTTAAAATTCACTTTTACATAAATTAAAAATTTATTTTTGGTTAGTCGCAAAGATTTATATTTTAATAAGTTATACTGAAAAAATTAATGTATCACGTTCATATACATTCAAAAATATTTACTTAATCCTATTAAATCTAGAAGAAAATGACTATCACTATTTGAGATTAGCATAAGATACAGAAATTGTTAATACATCAATAATATTATAAGTATTAGTAATAAGCTAAACAATTGTTGTTGATGTCAATATTGCCAGCCTTCGGTATGAAGGTCGCATTTCTGCAATTTTGCAACACTGACAAATCTTTGTTAATGTTATTCCAATAGAGAAGAAAAGTTTTAATCTTAAAAATTGTTTTCAAACTATCAAGAACCGCTCAGAGTTTTTTAAGATACATATCACCATAAAAAAAAATCTGAATCGCTAATCAATGAAAGATTTTGGGATTGGTAACTGATAAAATAGTTCCTTAATTACCGATCGTATCAAGAGGTGATACCAGCACTCAAAATCAACTGCCTGATTTTTTTCTTTTGACCCAATAGTTTTGGATGAAAATGAAGAATCCCAAATCATATTTTCCTATGTTAATATTGTGCAGAACCTCACTCCATTTTGAATTTTCGTGTCCAATAACAAACTCTTCATTAATCTAGCTTCTTGATTAAACTAGGCTTCCCTGGTTGATTAATTATATACTACAAATATGCAATATACCTAATATTGATGTTACATTCCCTAGATTGTGTAAATATTAATCTAACTGAATCGCCCAGCCAGCAAATACGTGAGTATTTGAGTATCTATGCTATACATAGGGGCAGTTAATATTACCGGACAAACTCTATTTCATCCTAAATTCTTGTTCAAATTATGTTAGTTTCAACTAATAAGTAAGATCATTACGACAAATAGAGATATTTACGCACATAAAAATAACAAATGCGAGGTAAAAATAGATTGTTGAATTAACCTGAATCGTTGATTCATAATTAATAATTACTTATAGTATTTTAATGATAAAAATAAGTACAAATAATTTAACTAATTTCATCCCATGCTGTATAAAATTTAAGGAACGGTAACCAATGACTTACCAAATGTTTTTAAGATTGCTATGAGGATTTATACTTAAATTTTTGAAATGTCTGATGTTTATTTGTGTGTTTAAAAAAATAAAATGTACTTGGATACAAAATCCAATTTTTAATTATTTTCAAATATGCTTATATATTGAAAAATATTACAATCTGTCTCAAGGACATCTATAATAGTGTCCAAAATTAATTTCTTAAAACATATGTCGTCGTTTGCGTTCAGGTTATTTTATATTGGTTTAAAAAAAAAATTAAACCTTCGCGTAGTGGCAACGATCCACTAAATTTTTGCCAGGAGAGGAATCCTTGTACCAGCCTTGTTTTTTTTTTTCAACGACATGGAAAAGTGAGTTTTCGCCGCATGATTGAGGAAATTTCTGGACATTGTGTAACTGACTTATAGGCGGTAGGTAATGAAAGTCTCGTAATTTCATTCCGGAAAATTTTATAAGAGAAAGAAATAAGTGAGTTAAAAAAAATGTATGAAATAGTACACATCTAGTTCCTATAATTATTAAGACATAGTACAAACCTTAGTTATTTATATGTACTTCCTCTTAATATAACTTTTTATTCACGTTTTTAAAAAAAGTTATGTTAAATAAGAAATAAACAGTAATTGAGCTAAGATTAGAGTTATAATTTATCTGAAATGTGTTATTTCAGATCTTGATTCTAATGTGTCGTTTGTTTGAGTAGCTAAGAATATTTTTTTTGCCGAAGTCAACTTTGAAATAAACATTTTTTTTAAAATAAAATTTCTGTAAAAACCTTTACTTTAAAAGTTGCAAGGAAATAAGTTATAGTTCTGAGATAACAGAAAAAAAATTGATAATAACAGAGGGTTGAAACTTTTTAAAAAACGTTCCATTCTAATAGTTTCGAAGGAACTATTTTGTGAAAAAAATTAAAAAAAAAAAGTTCTACAGATTATTTTTTATAATAAAGGTGTGGGTTAGAAAAAAATGAATATTGAATGAATTGCCTGATTCCTATATTGATACTCTACTTTATAATCACTGTTCTTTAAATTTAGTTATTGGCGAATTGAATTTTTAACAGTAAATTTGTGTAGAGATTTTTAGAAAAATAAAATTCCTTTAAAATCATTGGAAATTTCCATCGGGAATAAAGTTCTAGTTCCGACATAACGTAAAATAAAAAGTTCCGGTCATACCGAAACCGATTATAAATAAAAGTAAAAATATTATTTATCATCCATGATAAATTTGGATCGAAATTGTTAAAATAGAACTTTATTAACAAGTCCTCTAATAGTTGCATGCTCTAGTTCTACTTAGCAATTGAAAAAAACATTACAAAATGAAGTAGAATTCATTTTCAATAATAATAATAAAGCTTAGGGAACCCGATGGTTCGATGCCGATACCACAAATCGGCATCGTCCAACATTATCCATCCACTGGGCGCCGTCTAAACCAAACCCCACCATATCAGCCTTAACGCAATCTTCCCATCTTCGCTTTTATTTGGTCTACCCCTCGGACGCTAGCCAGCCGGCACAGCTCGTATTAACTTTTTAGAAATTCTTTCGTTAATAAGCCCTTCGATTTTACATAGCCATTTTATTCGCCTCAATTTAATCATATTGACCGGATAGAGTTCGAGCAATTGAACGTTGTATAACCGCCTAAATTCTACGGTTTACTCACCGTCTTCGGTCCGAATATTCTGCGCAATACTTTACTTTCAAAAATCTTAAGACGTTGCTCCTCCCTTAATATAAGCGGCCACATTTCGCATCCATAAAGAACTGTAGGTAAGATAATGGTTTTACAGATTCTAGTTTTTAAGTTACGGGACTAGAGTAGCAAGTAGTCTTGTCACAGAAAAATAACAAACATTTCCCGCCTTCATCCTAAACTTAATCTCCTCTCCAATTTCGTTTTTTCTAGTTATCGTAGACCCTAGATACCTAAAAGTCTGTACATGTTCAAACACATTCCCTATTATATCGATATAATTGAAATTAGCGCTTTACAAAATTTTTTTTGTAGCTAACAATTTATGTTGTCTTATACGTATTTATTTCGAGTCCTAGTCCTTTACCGGCTTTCATCAATGTTGTTGCATTGAATAGTGTGTATAAAAAAAATACCGTTTTATCAAATTCAAGATTTCAAAGGACTGTAAATATTGTAATGCT